CCGCGGTGTTTACGACGCCGAGCGTCGTTTCGAACCGTCGCGGGCAACCGCACCCGCTCCGCATGCGGCAAAACGCCGAATCCGCACCGCAGCGTTACTTTGTGCCTTGCCGCACCCCCGGCGAACGATTTTCATTAAATGCCCGTAATAACTGCCGTAATATTCCAGGCCGGAACGACTGCTTTAACGACGCCGCCGCCGCCAACCAGATTCACTGAGACATGTGGATCGATTTTATCGTTAGGATAATTTTAACGATCCTTCGACAACATAAGCGACGGAACATCGTTGAAATCTTTCTATCTGCACCGGATTCAGAAAGCGTTTCGACGAATTAGTGTGGTCTATACAATTAACGAACAGCTTCGACTATTTAGATCTTTTTATCAAACCCCCAAAAATTGTGACGCTCGATGAGAATATCGAGTAACAACAGCTTCGACTATTTAGATTTTTTTATTAAACCCCCAAAAATTGTGTCGCTCGATGAGAATATCGAGTAACAACAGCTTCGACTATTTAGATTTTTTTATCAAACCCCCAAAAATTGTGACACTCGATGAGAAAATCGAGTAACAACAGCTTCGACTATTTCGATTTTTTTATCAAACCCCCAAAAATTGTGACGCTCGATGAGAAAATCTGGTAACAACAGCTTCGACTATTTAGATTTTTTTATGAAACCCCCAGAAATTGTGACGCTCGATGAGAAAATCGAGTAACAACAGCTTCGACTATTTCGATTTTTTTATCAAACCCCCAAAAATTGTGACGCTCGATGAGAAAATCGAGTAACAACAGCTTCGACTATTTCGATTTTTTTATCAAACCCCCAAAAATTGTGACGCTCGATGAGAAAATCGAGTAACAACAGCTTCGACTATTTCGATTTTTTTATCAAACCCCCAAAAATTGTGACGCTCGATGAGAAAATCGAGTAATAACAGCTTCTCGAAAATTGTACCATGAGATTTAAAAAAGAAACTTACAAAATATTTCTGATATAGAAATATACAAATATGATTTGTTTTGTTAAGTTATTTTGTGACATATACAGGATGATTCAGCTGAAGGGGACCACCTACAGTGCTGTGAATAATTATAAACTCGAAGAGTAATTTTTATATTTTTACAGAAATTTAAGCAAAGACCAAGAAAAAACTATATTTGTATATTTATATATATATTAGAAATAATAGAAAATGGAAATATATACAAATATCGTTAAAGTTTTTGTTTAAATAACACTAAAAGTATAAAAGTTATTTCGAGTCTTCAATTATTCACACCAGTGTAATTAAATAAGAAAATGGTGAAAATTATCGATTAACAAAGGTAAATATACCGGTTAAAAGGTTATGAATAAACAACAACCGGAGAATATCGGTATAATATCGGTTACATTTCAGCATAAATTTCTGGTTTATCATCTGATGATATTCTTAATTCCTCTTAACCTCGAAATTGGGAAATATTATTAAAACGACGAAGAAGTTCTAATTGCTGTAACTGTAGAACAAATGATGAGAAAAGGGGTTAAAGTACCTTGTTTAGGTTTATTTTTATTTACATTCGAGCATAAAAATCGTCATTTAACTGCCTAATATCCGATGGCTGACTTGGATCAGTAATTGTTGCATTGGGAGGAGTACGAAGACCAACGTATCTAGAAGAAACACCTTCAAGAATGTGTTCAACCTCTTGGAATAATTATCCATGTCGTTCCAGAAACGAGTATCAATTTCTGAACTTGTATTCACATAATTGCGACAAGAAAATGATCTTCATCCGATTCCCTCGTGACAGAAGCACTTGTGCATGCACAGAAAATTAAATATAATTTCGAATTTCATAAAGTTTCCACGGTTTACAGTCGTTCCATGTTAATCCCTTGCACAACAATTTCTTTTACAGCCACGTTAACAACAATCCTCCCGATTTATTCATGTAATTTTTCTTTACTGCATGTTTTTATTCGCTTTGCTCCTAGATCCCGATGATAAGAGAAATCAGAGTTTCGATTTCGAAGAAGTCGATAACATTCGTATTTAATAGATTAACGTATAAAATCTTGATCACGAGTCTGACTCGTTAACATAGCGCGATGGATCAATTTAGTATACTCGTGACATGTACGGGCATGAGCGTGAAGGGGTTAAAAAGCCGCATACATAAAGTTATAAATAGTCGCAAGCGTCGTCGACTGTCTAGCCATTGAAAGAGCACGCCGTCCAAGAATTAAGCGTCCGCAAAATTAAACGAGAATCCCCGCCGCCAGCAATATCCAGTAATTGTCCTTAAAGCTTCCATGATTTCTGAAACAACAGCGCGTGGCTGCGGAGACTTCTGCGGAGAACAGCATCATAAGCGATCGAACCGCAGGGGCAAAGAAGTTCGTTCAATTTTGCCGGCTCGGAACGTAACTCCCGACACTCGAGAATCTAATTCCCCGGGAAGAGAAGACGTTCCATAGAAACATCGTCGTTCTCAGTCGTCAAGGGAACCGGGATCCAATTGGAAGTATTTCTTCTTACGACGTCAAGTTCGGCAATAAGAAAGTTGCTGCGCCCTGGGAGGGGTCTCTCGGCGAGGACACGGCGAAGGGTGGAAAAGAAGAAGAAGAAGCAGAAGCGGAAGCAGGAGAAGGAGCGAAATAAGAAGAAGGGAAACAGAGACACGGTGGAAATGCTCTTTTGCCGTGGCAGGTGCGCCCACGGTTGGCTGAGAGGCATTAAGAGTTGAATCGAACGCTGCCACGAAAGCAGACTTCTACCCCGCACCAATCACTCCGCTTTTATCCAGTTATTTATGTTGCGAACATAAAGGACCCTCGTTCGAATTTCGTTCTTCCAGGGAAGAACGGGGGAACGGGAGCGTTGATTGATTCCCACAATACGGGTTTACCTACGACAACGGGTAATCTAATGTATCGATAACCGGTGTCTCCGGAATGTCGCATCCCGCGAACTGAAATGGATATCTCTTTTCTCCGTCGAAGGCGTTTCCTCGCGGCGCGAAGAGCCGAGGATTCGCCATTTATCGGAACGTTCTTACTAACATTTGACGTTCGTGAACCTGTAAAATCCAATCACTGTGAAACTTCGCACACGCAAGTAAAGCAAGTTAGTGCTTAATACAATCGTATACCTTTTCTGGCGCCATTTTCCGGTTTAACCATTCAGCGCAACATAATTTTCGCGTATGCGCGACGCGTTCCGAAACTGTAAATCAATTTTTCAAGAGAAAATTCACGTCACTCGATTGCCTCGTGGTGGAAGCTCTTGTACAGGAGCCGCTCACTTGCCAAATCGATTAACTCCGTAAAACAGAAAGTAGAGAAATGTGATGGAATGATGAATATTATTGTTTTTTTTTCAAAGTTCCCTTTGAAGTAAAAATTGAAATGAACATTGTATAATGCATAAATATACAGACGTAGCTTTCTTATCTTATCACGTCTTTACGTGTAAAATGAATAAGATATAGTATTGGTGTAATTGTTATTGACTGCAATATATTGTTTATTGTTCGACGACCAAAAAAGTTCTGTTGTTTAGTGCTGTTGATCTGTATTATTTGGGAAATTTATTATGAATAAAGAATGTTATGACTGAACCAAGTGCTTTGACACTTAAATGTAAAATATTTCAAAAAGTGGAGTCGATCGATTTGGTCTGCGAACGGCTCACGTCATGCGTAGAAAATGAAACGTGGTTTCGAATTTAATAAAGTTTATACGATTTAATGCTACATATTTTTCGTTAACTTAGTGTGGCCGTGACAAACACAGACATGAGCGTTAAGGGCGGTTAAAGAGGTGAAATACGTTCTTGAAAAAGTTTTAATATTTTCTGTTTCGTCAAATATCTCAAGAATGGTAAATGATGTTAAATTAAAATTGGAACAAAAATTTCAGCGGTTTATTGTGTCCACAAGACTGTGTAAACATTATTTTCTAAATTAAATTTGAAATTAGATTGTAAATTGAATGGTAGATTAAATTATATTTCAAGAGTATTATTTTTACACAGTTTTGTGGACACGATAGAGTGATAGAATTTTTCTTTCAACCTACTTTTGTAATAACATTTGCTTTTCTTGAGAACATTTTACGAAAAACGAAATATTTTAATTTTATGCCAGTTGTACTAGGCATAATTTACTCTACTTTTGTACAATTTTATAATTTTTGGATTCTACATGTTCGAAAGTGTCCCTTGTAAATACTGACAATTCTTAAAAATTGAGGTGAACATGTAAAAATTTTAACGAGACTTCTTCTTATCATTTTGTTCGAGAAAGTATAAAACGTTGCAGAAACTTGGGAAAAAAGTTATTCTTATGCCGTCGTATGAGTTTAGATCTTGGTTAGGTCTAGGTTAAGTCCGGGTAAGGTCTAGGTCCATGTTTCCAATGTGGAATACCTATTTAAAAAACAATTCATCCATCCTGAAAGAATCGATATATCTTTCGACAACGTCTTCTTTCATAAAAATATCTGCAACAACATCGACTAAATCAAATAAAAATTCGGAATATATGTTTTATAGGGATTTCCTTATCTTTTTGATTTTTTCTATGCTATATCTTTAATTTTCTTATGTAAGAATATTAAAGAAGCTAAAAAAAGGGTTTCCATATTTCATTCGATATTTAACGATATCTGTAAACACATGGCAAATCAAATAAATAAACCATTGACGAAAGTAGCAAATATGGTCGTTATTTAATCATTGTAATCGCAACACAATTCTACGTAATATTATAAACATACACATTTAATGGAAAAGAATGGAATTAATAATTCTTGAATATGTAAATGCACAGTTTCGTGAATAGAAATCGTTCTGCCCTTTTACGGTTTAAGTAACCTAGAAAGTGTCTCAACTGAAATACAATTAAAGTTTCGCCATATTTTCAATCGAGCTGTTTCAGAAAATTTTCGGAGTAATTAATTTGTATTTTCGAGATTAGAAAGAAGTTAGAAAGAGTATGCTCACCGTACGGAATCCATGTAGTGGAAAAGACATGTTCTTTAAAACGTAACAAAACAAAAAATTGTTTCTATTTAAAACAAAGTTCTTCCATTGATGAAACATCGTACATTGAATATAAAAATGAATAGATACTGTTCTATCTTATTGAAGTTGAGCAATCTATCTTAGGACTGAGTTCCGGTCGACAAATTTAGATCTATCAATATCACAAGCACACGTCTGAACATTTAGAACAACTTCATCGCGTTTTAGGAAACTTCAATATCCGAATCCCAAAGATAGCCGCGAAGTTACGCTATCTGAATAGGTTTAGTTCAAAGGCAATGCGATTGTAGTAGAAGTCATCCCAAATGTGTGAACCAACCCTTCGCTCTTCGTTCTCTAGTGTTTCCCTGATCAACAATTTTCTGTCTCCTTCCGAACAATAAATTATAAGGAATATGAAACAAAGGGAAAAAATGAATTTCTGTGAAACAATAAATTCCTCCTGTACACGGCAATGACATTACTCACCGTCTTTATTCATTCCCATCTGCAGACATTTCTTCAGACGACACGCTTGACACTGATTTCGGTGAGCTTTATCCACGATACATCTTCCGGTACCAGCTTGACATCTGAACATAAAATATTGCGATACATGTAAGAAGGTTCTGAGATGAAAGAACTTTCGTAGCACACCCCGCTATTTCGATAGCCTCGTGTAAAATAAACAAATAAATAGGTGAACAATTTTTCATTCTTCTTTAACGTAATCCTAACGATAAATATAATTTTGACAAGTTTTCGAAATGTTTATATCGAGTTATCGTTATTTAGTTATATTAATGGTAGTCATTAGACTACTTTTTCTTTTTTACTGCATCCGAGGAAATATTTGTTCAAGAACATGCTAATATTATTCTGTTTTAGTAAAATGTACCGTTCATATATGTATTATATCAACGTCCCTTGCAATACCACCGTTTCATGAAAGATGAACAGAACATACTTGTTAAAAAAAGTTGAAGAAATATATTTATATGGTGTTCCAAACAAAAATGTCCCTTTCGCACCCCAATGCTCCAACACAGAATTTCGGTTGAAGGAAATTTTCCTCCCGAACGAGATTGATTGATCATCGACGATGACGTTTCACCGACGACCGTAGCAACTTGGCGTCTGTTGTCCCTTCTGGAAAGACGACGAATTTCGAACGCACTTGCCGGAAATCCTGGCTGCGCACTCAGGAGTTGGCGTTAAATTCGATTACTTTCATTGTTGGACTAACCCGGTTATCCCTTCAAGCTGACTAACGTAAAGAGGCGACCGTTCGAGGTCACGTACCTTCTTATCCCTCTTAATTTCATCCAATCCCGCGGTAGTCTCGTGGTACTCTCTTTCTCAGGGCTTAAATCCCCTTTCTCTCTTCTGCTCCTCAATTCCGTCGCGCAGCGTTTGACGCGAAAATGATCGAATAAGCTGCGTCCGCAATTTCTTGTATTTCATTGTTTCAATTTGTATTTACTTAATAGGATTATTTACTCAGATTTGAGAATTTATTTTAACGCTAATTTATTAAATCTTTCTAATTTTGTTGGGGATTCGCAAACCATAAGAACGTGGAAAGAGAAATTGATGTCGTACAACTGAACTCTTATCAATTTTAATTTGATTGCATAAAATACTTTAATTTTATTCACTTTTCGAGGTCATTAGCGTGATAGTGAAAGTATTAAAGAAATTATCTGATGCAAACCTTTCCTTTCAATTTCCTTCCTTTTCTTTTTACTTTTGTTTTCAAGAATTTCTTGATACACATGTTATCATCGAGGATAAGTAAGAGATAAAGCGATTAGGATTTTCTGTTAGCGCCAGTCAATATGATTAACATCATTGTAAAATGTTCGACTTTTTTTCTATATGTATTGCGAGATAATTTCTTTAAATTGTGGAACTATAAATGAACCATTCGTGTTTGAATGTGTTATGTGAAAAGAGGGGAAGCAGTATCCTAGGTTTTATGGATTAATGGCATGTAGATTTTTAAATTGCGACAGGATTGTAATTGCATTTTCATTTTCTGTTTAAGACGAGTAATTTTTCAGATGACAAGGGAAACTTTTCTTTAATTCGAAGAATTCTTGTAAAATGACGTGTGAAAATGAGAATCTGCATAAAAATCCGCAATCGACTAAATCATACATAGATTGTCAAAAGTGTAACGAGAGCTATAGCTGAATGAATCATCATTACGCTGCAGACATGTGATGCAAACTATCATTTCCATATATAATTTTAAAGTAAAACAATGAAAACAAAGGACAAAATTTGTTCTTTTAATACGCATATTTTCTAGTACTTTACTGTTTAACATTCTGACTGCCGACCCAAGAACCTCGCAAATGGCACAAAGTTGCCTGTGTTAATTCAACACACTTCTCATTCCAAACAAATAGTATATTCTACACATTCTTCAATTAGTTACGAGCGGCACTAATAATCTCATTCTTATAAAAATCTTTCTATGAGAAACTTATAAATAAACTTCTCTAGTCAAACATACATTATCATAATTATCGCTTCCGCTCGTTATATCGGCTTCTTTGCATTGTCATGCTGTGCTAGAGTCAGTTTCCGGATGGGAAGGTATTCTGTACGCGAGAATTTACCGACTCAATGAGAATTTAACCGTGTACTACTGTGCCAGTTATGGTATGTACAGAACGAACCATTAGAAGAGTCGCTTTTGAAATACATACACCTTGCACAATAATGAAGGAAGCGTGCAAAGGCGATGAAGGTGCATGTGAACTATTTCGAGAGAATATTGTGTTTAACACTAACCGTACTATCGTCGCACAGTGGACAGTTTCCATACAAAAAGTGGAAAGAAGTCAGTTTTAAAAAATATCCCCATAATGCATAATATATTCGCTAGCAGCCAATTAAACGTGTGGCTTATTATTTACTATGATCTTTTTTACCATTTGTTTTCATTTTGGACACCGCTACATGGCTTCAAAGTATAGCCCATCTCCAAATCATCCTAAATTTATATCATCGTTTATGATTATTTTGTTCTTTGAAAATAAATAATTTTTACAAAGTTCGTATACTATTACTTACTGTGTACTTAAATTATGTCACACAAGACACGTTTTTATCTCTCACTTGTTTTGAGTTATGTTCAATTGAATGTGATTAATTTTCATTTTATTTTTTTAATTATGAGTTCGGCGAAGTTCAGTGATCGCTTTGATCGCATTTTGACGAGTGATGCCTTACGTTAATAACAAAATAAAAATTGGCCGCTATTAGCTGCTATCGGGGAAATCATGTAATAATAATAATAATGCCAAAATGGCACGTGCCACGAAGTATACCGTGATACCATGATAGGCTACCGAGTTACGTGAAATGTTTTGAATAAGTTGAGTAAAATATGAAAACGACATGAAAACGGAGAGAATGTTCAATTTAATTGAATTGAATTGAAAATAAAAATTGTATTTTTTAAAAATTTGTTTACAAACAATTGAAACAGTGCATTTTGTTTTCATTATTCTATCCCAACAAAAAAAAGGCTTAAATATATAATTTTAGTTGTTATATACTTTCTCCGTTTTTGTTTTTTTACGGAAACCGACCACTGTGCGTCGGTCAAATGACCCTTTCGAAGATTCTTATTTCACTGTCAACGCAATTATAACGATACTTCCACCAGAAATCGTTAAATAAATTTATTCACTCGAACACATATTAATATAAAAATTGCAACAAATAAAATAAATTCAATCTTATATTTTTAATCAGGCAACCGATGCTGATCACAGACTGCAGATTTTATGCATTGACAACAAAATCAAGGAAACAACAAATCGATAAGGAGATTTAATGTGAAATTAAGAATGCCAATACATAATTTTCAATCCATTAAAATTATCGAATAAAGGAATGACTTTTTATTCGGTTTCTACTTAACTGTTTGCGATTGATGCAAACAATTTTTATTTTGCACAAAGATCCGCAAACTATTGATCATTTCGAGCACTAGGTACCGTTAGTGTCAAATAAAAATGATCGATTTTCTCGGAGATAGAACTCGGTCATTAAACATTATATCATCTTATCATTATACTTTCGTTAAGCAATGAGTTAATCTTTGGCCTCTCCACGGCCAAGTCATCGGCGTTTAGTCGACGATGCGTAACAGCTCGAAGAGTTACCGATCAAGAAAAAAGACAGAAAGAAAGAAAGAGGTGAATCGGCAGAGCAGTAATTCGGACGTAATAGCGCCCGAGGTTCGATCGGCCGTCTACGCTGGGCGATCGATCGATCCCCGAGGCTCCGTTAGCACGATTTTAACTAACGTCACTCACAAGGAGGCGGCTGGATGCAGCCGCGCGATGAAAGGACGCCACACCATCCTGGAACTATCTTGTCCTCAGGCGGTTGAGTACGAAGGGCATCGAAGGGCACCGAAGGGTGGCTGCGTGCTGTCTTGCCAGCAGGGTTCCACTCGCAAATTGATTTGCGTTCACACCCCAGCGAGCCCCGCCGGAGCTGGTGGCCCGCCGGGGTGTCCCGGTGCAACGCGAAGGGATACATCGCCCCCGGCATTCACCCTTCAGAACCACATCATACATTTATTTACGCATCTCTCTATTCCTCAGCCGGTCGGCATTGTTTGGTTCATCGAGTTACCGGAAACATGTGCTGCCTGTTATCACGCCCGTCGATCGCGGCTACGGATGATTCAATGACTCGACGCGCCTGCAATCAAGCAGCCGCGACGCACAGTGGGCTGAAATCGTCGCAACGCTGGCTTCGTTCGTAGTATTGTTATGCGTGCACTATTCATTATGACGTGAACTGTCACACAGGATTTCGGGGTCGCAGAATCCGACTTTGATAACGGTTCCTTTGTAAAACACGTTTACGAACCGGAAACTAAGGCTTATGGTTGCTTCGTGACGATGACAAGACACTGAACGTAGTCTCTCTGTTTTATCATAATTTATATAGTAATTTCTCCCACAAATTGCGTACAAAAATAGACAATTTGGGAAAAGAAGGTTATTCGAGCCTTGCATCTCGTTTTTACAGTTGTTAGCTAGTTGTTAACACGTTCCGTGCCGAGCTTTTTTTACTCGAATCTTCACAGTTTGATATTTGACTAAAACTTGATGTATTACGTGCAATTATTAATTCTCGTACACGTAACAACGTAACAAAAATTTATCAACGCCTATTCTTGCGGTGGAAATTGATTCTTCGGTTCTAAATTTCTTGTAAACAATTTGTTCGGTTCACTAAGTAAACGTGCAAGCGTGTACCATCGATGGTACACGTGGCACAGAACGTGTTAACTATACATACTTTTGCGCGCAATCTGAGCTAAATATTACTGTATTTCGAAAGTGGCCAGATACTTAAGGATTTTACGTTCCAATAAATTAAAAAATATTGGTTACCGACTACATGATCGTATAATGTTTTTGTGTTTCTAAGGGTTATCGCGTTCTAGACGCTTTGCTGAAATAAAATTATACGTAACGTAGAAATGTAAGTATTAAAATAGCAAGCTCGATGTTTTTGGTAAATGGATCTGGCCACTTTCAATTTAAACGGTTCG